GGTATATTGGAATTGGTGAATCAGCGGATGGGCAGCTCTTCTACGCCTTTATCAAGTCAGAGTCAAATCCTCAATCGGATCCTCTTATCCTTTGGTTAGATGGAGGCCCTGGCTGCAGTTCATTTAGTTCACTTTTCTTTGGGACAGGTCAATTCTAATGCCTTACACTTTGCATTAGGTGTCACCAAAAAAACAGAACAATTGCGCCACTATTTTGATCTTGATTTTGTATAATCTTGAAACTCTGCAAACAGCTTTTCTGGTTGAAACTCTGCAAAAAAGACAAAAGACTTTGTCTGGTTGACGAAGCTTTATGTAAGGTCTTTTGTTTTGTTTTGTTTTTTTGGGTAAAAGTATTAATTTTATTGAATAGCATCCATTTGTCGCCAGTAGCAACTGCTACAAACATCTGTACAATAACTAACTACACATTCACATCAAATTAAAAAGCCCAAAATTTAAATTAAGCTCCAAAAACACGCACCTAAATATTTTTTCATATGCATTGCTACAATAAAGCTTTTAGAAAACATTTCTAAAAACAACTAATTCAAATGGAGCCATAATCTTTATTTGTCTTTAATGTTCAAGTGATGATGACTGATAAACTGGAGTGCCAGCATTTGATCAAGTCACTGGCCCGTGATTTCCTGTTGCAGGACCAGTAATTTTGGAGCCATTGTCGTTCGATGGCACTGTGCCCAAGTTGGTATTAAATCCCTCTACTTGGACCAAGGTAAACTCAAGAATTGAGTTTCTCTTTTCTTTTCTTTTATTTTCTTGTGAGAGAAAAAGAGATTTAAGTTGATGCGTATATCTTAGACTCATAGAAGTGTTACATGAAAAGGTTATTGAGATCCATATATAAATAAGATTCCAAATTTTTTTTTTTTCTTTTTTTTTGAAATAATGTTCAAATAATCTTTATCCAAACAAACCTAATTCTGAAGATTAAGAATTCGAGTTGACTGCAAGGTTGAGAATCATTTCTTGTTACTTGTTAGGTTGTAAGCATCATCTTTCTGGATTCGCCAGCAGGAACTGGTTTTTCTTATGCTAAGACTGCACAAGCTTCTCAATCTTCAGATTTTCTAGCCTCTGATCAAGCTTACGAATTTATCAGGAAGGTACACGCCCATCACTCAGCTAATTAATGAATCGTAAGGCTTCACGGAACGTTGGACAATTACTAATCAGGAAAATGCCATATTTGTCTCTAGACCCTTTATTATGCAAAAAGACCAGTGTACCATCATTTAATTATTTTCCTTCTGAATAGTGGAATCCTGCATGGCTCTGCCCAAAATTGCCTCCATTGGATTCAAGTTCTCAATGAACACGGTTTTGATTGTATAGAACAGTTGACAGTGGAAGATGAATAAAAGTGACATCAATAATAATTGGCTATGGTAGTTGATAGGGTGAAACATCTCGAAAGAACCCATCAAAGAGCCCAATATATAAATCAGAAATCTAACTCTGACCCAAAAATTTAAGTCATTGGATGTCGGGCCATTACTTATATATTAACCGCTCTTTCTCCATCTCTCGAATCATTGTGGGACGTAATCTTTTACTCATGAACGTAACAGTAGTTTCGGCAGTTAGCATCATGGGAGCTATAGTAGAGGAGGAGGTCAGGCATGTGGCTCTTGCATGGGGAAAGATCCCAAAGTCTCGTGAAAGGCGGCAATCTCTAGAGTAGAATATCCCATTCACAGTGTTTAGTTAGTGAAATGTTGTGATACAGGCTCCTATGATAATTAGCTTAACATGTATAATGAGATATTATATCTCTTGTACAAACTTGTCCCATATCGGTAAACTTACAATTTTACCTTGAAAAGATAGTGGAAGATGACTAATTTTGAATTTGAGGCTTACAATTCAATTTTGGGTACAAATTTCAATAAGCGAGGCAATTTGTTGTCTTTTTGCATGTTGTTGTATCTTAATGTCTACAATTGGTTTGCTAGTGCCTATGGTACACAGTGCAATTACAACTGCCATTTATAAAGGCTTGGGCAGGCGATATTTGATGCGTTTTTACCCATTTGAACCTCGAGTTAAAAGCTTAATTTCCCTTGAAATGGGAAAGAAATTATAGTTAAAAAGATGTTTACCTTTTACAAGATTGCTTTTGATAGTTGATTATACTGCAGTGGCTACATGATCACCCAGAGTACAAGTCGAATCCATTCTATGTTGGTGGAATCTCGTATGGAGGCATTCCTGTTCCAATATTAACTCAACTTATATCAAATGGTAAGATTTTTTCAATGTGGCTCTTTGCCTTGGGGAAGTTTTTTGGTTGTGTTACAATCTGATTATTGAAATTGTCATGCAGATACATAGGCATTGTAAGAGATGTGAATATACTATAAATGCTCTCTGTAAGCTTGTTGTATATGCGAAGTCTCTTTAGGTAGGAATATAGTTGCCACCTTAAGCTAAATGGGTTTTGTTAACATAATGCAGAGCTTTATGAGGGGGAAAAAAGGTTAAAAGTTCCCTCAGAAATTTGCAGGCTTTTATTCTTTTCTGTCCATATGTTAAGTTATAAAACGCTCCAGAACAAAGCAAGAAAATGTTTCTTTGACCAGTTCAGAGTTTTACATTATCTCCTGCCACAAGATGATCAGTTGAAGTTTGCTAAATACAGAGAGTATAGGATCAATGCTTTGTTGCTCTATGACTATTAAGACCTAAAACTTACATGTATTTTGGAGTTATTCCAGGAAACGAGGACGGCATTGAACCACGTATTGATCTTAAGGTGTATACCTTTGATGATCTTCTCTTTTCTAGTCTACCTAATCTTGATTGATTACATATATTTGGAGAAAAATTTACCATCCTGAGTTTAAAACTGAGACGTTTCCATTTATGGCTTCAGGGATACATACTCGGAAATCCAATAACGAAGGTTTCAGAATTCTGAACTATAGGGTTCCGTTTGCTTATGGGATGGGGCTGATTTCTGATGAACTCTATGAGGTAACTTATTTCTTTTGTTTGTTACCTATTGATATCTTAGAACACTGTCATTTGTCACATGCATTTTACAATGTAAAATTACCCGTGATTTTCTAATTGACCTGTATATTTACAATGCAGTCCTTGAAAGTTAGCTGTAAAGGGGAATATGAAATCATAGATCCCAGTAATGCAGTGTGTTTGAAAAATATGCAGGCATACAATGAGGCAAGCAACCATATCTATGCAATTTTTATGTGACTATATTTTCAAAAATTTGGCAAGGCCTAATGGATTTACTTAAAGCGCCTCCTAAACTCAAGAAAGAGGGATAGAGTTAAAGGATTGTCAGTATAACCGTTTCTGAATAGTGTAATATTATTTGAAGAAGCAGTAATTCATTGTAACTTACTCGTACAATTTCGTAACAGAGTTGCAGTTAATGTTAGGGGCTTACACGAGCACTGATCGAACATCATATTTCTGTTGCGAAATTGTAGAAGTTAACAATGAATTACTCTGATTTATTCAAACAATAACACACTTTCCAGAAACGGTTGTACTGACAATTGGTTCCTACCCCTTCCCTTTAATTTGAGGGCTACAAAAGGTGGGAAGAATCAGAATAAAGGAACAGGCAACAAGAATGATGGTGTAAATAATTTTCTTCTGCAGTTGGTTCGTAATATTGACGATGAACAGATCTTGATGCCCGTATGTCCTCCTCTTTCACGAGAGCCAAATAAATTATTTACTGGTGGGAGATCCATTATACAAATGTTGTATAAGAAGTTTGAAGAGCTAGACGTTCGGGAATCTACTCCAGTCAAATGTCGAGTAAGATACTACTAGTATCGTTCTATGTAAACTTGGGAAATAAGAGCATCAGTTCTTGGTAGCACAACTGATCGCCGTTTCTTCTGTTCACTGGCAATCGTAGATGGAATGGGTTAAGCTCGTTGAGCACTGGGCTAACAACAAGAGCGTCCAAGAGGCCCTCCATGTGCGAAGGGTATGTCTAAATCGAGCACTATGGTATGTAGCATTTGAAGAATGCCGAAGCAAGCCTGAACTGATTTCTGTAATCACATTGCAGGAAACTATCGGACAGTGGTTAAGATGCAACGATACCTTGCCATACACAAAAAATGCAGGAGTGTTGTACCATATCACGCAAACCTTAGCACTAAAGGTTATAGATCCCTTATATACAGGTTTGGTAGCTAACTCTGAATCTTGATGCATGTAGGTTAACAGCAGTGATTTTAAGTACTGAAAGTGGAGTACTTTGTGATGCAGTGGTGACCATGATCTGATGGTACCGCACATTGAAACTCAAGCGTGGATAAGATCTCTACATTACCCAATTATTGACGATTGGAGACAGTGGATTCATGAAGGCCAAGTTGCCGGGTTTGGTTCAAAATTGAACAATGTTTCTTTTCTTGATTACACCACCATTAGCACGAGATAAAAAGATGACTTTACCCGACTCATCTAAATTTGTTCTGTTTTCCTGCCTCCAGTTACACAAGGACTTACCAAATAAGATGACATTTGCAACAGTGAAGGCAAGAAATTCCTGTTTCTATTGCTTCAGTGCAAGATTTGTTCACATGGTAACGACTAACAACAAGGTTAGAACATTCTTGGGACTAACTAGCACCCCCCTTTTTTCTTTTTCTTTTTTTTGGGTGAAGGGAGGAGGCCATGTTGCTTATGAGTTGAAGCCTGCCGAATGCAGAACTATGCTTGAGAGATGGATATCGCATCAGCCTCTCTAATCAGTTGGCATATGGATTATGGACATCTTTGATCACTTCTGCGCATCAAATGTGCCACTCTTAAATATATATTATTTGTAACTTTGGGTCATGAGACGCTTCTACTCCCCAAGTCTCCAATGGATTGCCTTCTTATGGAGATATGATTAGTGGAGAAGTGAATAAAATGTAGTAGTTAAAATTGGAACCATGTTAGTTTTACCATTGACTTAGCCTCCAAGGAGTAGCTTCAGTAACACCTAATCAAATAAACTTCTACTTCTCGTGAAAATCAATGTTCAAAAGCACATCGGGTTATCAGATGAACTTCCACACAAGGGAAAAATATATCTTGACAGATAAAAGGTATTCTAACAGTTCAAAGAAACCTCAAGTCTCCAATCTGCATAGTCCAATTAAGGAACTAATTATTAATGGATCATTGCAAGAAGTCTGATTTTGACCTGAAATGATGATGGACGACCAAAACTATCAAGTACAAAAGCTGATTCATTCACTCTGCCTCTGACCCAAAACTGGAATATCTTCGTAACGCTTCTGTAATGCAATATTTATGAATTTCAGTTAGACATCCATGAAGACCACGACGAAGGTAAAGCAGACATATCTATTATTACATAAAGCAGGAAAGTAAAAGACTAGAAGCATCCATTTCTAGAAGCAGAGAAGAATATTGACTATAAAAGACACAATTTGCAGAACACAAGCCAAATAACACGCAGGTTTAATTTCAAATGCTCACTCAATCATGATACTGACCAACCGCACTCAAATAGGGTACCAAATACAGTTCTAGACACAATTTTCAAAGCTTACTTTAATCCGGCAAGTACCTATGATCACTCAATAGAAACTTCGATGGCAGATTTTGAAAATAATAATTAGCATGACATCATAAGCATTTCAGCTATAGCATCACACATAAGAATCTTAATGCTGTTTTGCGTGATCTAATAAATAACTTATCCGAACAATTCTTACTAAGAAGCAACCATAGAAAATTAGAGTTCAATCTAATTCAGCTGATTCACTGCATGTTCTTTAGTAATCAACATTTTGACTTGGTCTTTTAAGTGTTCATGAATGTTCAATTAGTCAAATAGCTAACTAAAATCAGAAAATAAATCTTTGAAAAGATGGATCTAAATTCAAAGGTTCCCATATATCAATCAAGCTATGGTACAAGTCTAAGGTCAAGGAACACATGGTAAATCATCATTTGGTGTCACACTGGATAACATCGTAGTCATGAGAAGAGTGACAAGCATCTTAAATCATCAAAAGGGTGAATTTAAGCAGATAACTACTAAACAATATGCCAAAACTGTAGACAATACGAGGCACAAGAAAGACTAAATAATAGAATTCCTTTGTTTGTATATGATACATGTTTGAGCCTGTCAGAGCTATGCTGTACAGTATCTCAAATGAATTTCAGCTGCATCGAGTTAAACATACACTATCCAACATCTATCATGAGAAGCGTGCACAAAACACACTTCAAGCATCAGTTCAGAATTACCACAATGACTATTTTCTTCTCTCTCTATTTCCTAACACAACAGGAAGTTGAGCCTAGGCATTTCAGCTAGTGCTATCTAACTTGAATCAGTTGGCTGGGTTTATTGTCCAGTGTCTTGTTTATATAGCATGCTACAATCTTGCAAAAAGAAATTGCAGAAACCTCTAAAATGATCAAAAATTAAGTGACTATTCACATCATATTTAACTCGTCCTTCTCAATTTCCAACAGCCCCTAAAAACTTTCCTTTTCCCCAGGAGAAAATACAAGTTTTAATCTCCACTGTATTTCCACCTCATTTTCAACTCTCACTTTCCTTTTCTCAAAGAGAAAATGCAATGAATAATTAAAGGAAAACATCCCTTCCCCAATTGACAATGTCTCGATTAGCATTATTTGAAGTAAATAAAGCAAAGGAACATTAGACAATCACCTAGAAGGGGAAAAAAATAGAACTGATCAAACTTCCAAGCAACAATCTTTCCTAATTCCTTATGACAATCAAAATCCACTTACATGGCTAAGTACCATACATCACTTAACTATAGGACATCTTCAATTAATGTCTATCTCTGCCAAAGAAATATACCTCTCCCAGCATGCTTCATCCCTTATTTATATACCTTGTACCTCTAGTATCAAAGCCATTCTGCAACCATGATTTTATTTTATTTTTTCCCGAATTTATCAACCTTATAACAGGTCCCAGGAAGATTCTAAAAACTAGCGTGGCCAACATGTTAGATCAAGGGAAGAAGGGCCAAGACCACCAACAGTACTATCTTTAAATTTAGCTGGAAAACAAGTACAGAAAAAGGAACTATCCACATCCTGTAAGAACCCAAAAATTATATGTACCAAAGATTCAGGGATCCATCCCAATAGCTGCATCACAACAAAAATGCTAAAGAAAATCATTTCCTTCCAATAGCTCATGACCCATCAGAAACCAAATATAACTAACAAGACATTCTTTATTGCCCTATAAAGGATATCAAGCTATAAAGGAGTCAACATAGAAGAATAGAAACAAAAAAGCACTCAAGGTCATTGGAGATTTAAAAAAAAAAAAAAACTGCCAGGAAAGCATATCTAGCAACTACCCGCTTCAGATTATTCTTACGGTTTCCCTAAATCCTTTACCCCAAATCTCCTCTCTTCTGTCTGAAAATGTTACCATCAGTGCCCAGACCGTACAGATGTCATATTCAGTCTATGTATCTAGGTGATTTTGAATTTTTCAAAACTAGGGTATCGGTACATGGCCAAAGATCTAGAATCGGCTAGAGGGGGTCTGTCCTGTATCCTATCTGTAAGTAGCGTATTAAGAAAATGTAATGACTGAAATACATCTTAAATTATGAAATGGCTCATGCTTAAAAGAAAATTTCTGCGTGTATGTGTCTCAAAATTATCTCCACTGTTGCCAAAAAACCACACAAAACTTATAAGAGGAGGAGAAAATAAACATTATACGTGGAATTCCAACCTAACTCTTGCACACACAACCAATTTACAATCTTTGCACCTTGATTTTTTTTCTATTTTTGTTCTTGTGTTCATTAACTTTATGGTGTCTGAAGTGTTGGACAAACATCGCATACCTTAACCAGGGTCATCTCATTTGCAACACATATATGGATGGGGACAAGAATAGTCCATGTAAAACAGAAGAAGGTACATTATTGGGGTGAGCTTTTAACTCTCAATGCACAAAAATAAGGTGAACAACACATTCAAAAGAACCAAGCCTAAAAAAATTAAACCCCATGTATATGCACCAAAAAATGTATCTCTTACATGAAGGAAATGAAGTTCAGAAACCTGTGCAACAATGCAGCTCTCAACAGTAATCAGCATCATTCGATCCAAGCATTTTCAGTGCTAAGTCATATCGTATCATTCGCATATCAAAGGGTGAAATAACCATATACATAGAATTTTTCACATTTGTGTTCAACTATAAAGTGAACAACAATGTAGAGCAGCACATTTCAAGGCTCCGCAATGTCTTTTACTAACGTCAAATCTTTCAAAATCAAATAAACCAATCAAACTACTTTTAACGCCCAAAAAGAAAATTCAGCAACCCAAGAACCGATTGTGCACCTTAAGAATATTGAAACAACATAAAACTTGCAAACAATACAAGAAATAAAAGAGTAAAATTGTCGTACCCCAATGTTATTATGCTCCCAGAGCTTATGAACCCCATAGTCCACCACCTGCAGCCAATTAAAAAATTCAAAAAAAAATCCCTTAATCCATTAGGTCAAATTGAATCGAACCCATTACTTAAATAGACAAATTTTAACTAATTATCACATAAAGGCGCAAACTTTTTCCTTTCTGTGATTTTATGCAAAAAACCCAGAAATTATATTTCTTTCTTTCTTTCTTTTTTTCAGATCTAAGGTGAATGATGAAGCAAAAAAGGCAGAGACCCGTTCACCGACGAAAGCTCCGACGATGACGAAGGTGACGTAAACAGGAGTGCGGCGCATAACAACTTTGTAGAGGCCTTCAAGAACGCCCCCTCCATTTCTTCGAGCTGCAGCTGGGAAGCCATTCTGGAAATTTTCGACCAAATTCTCCCTTTTTTAACCTTCTGATTTCAGATGGGTTTAGCTTTTCCTTTCTTGGATTCTCAGCAGCCGGCGTCAATAAAGAAAAAACAAATGCTGGGGGTTGAGATTTTATTGGTTTTGGGAATTTTTCCAACGGAGCGGGTTAGATGGGTGACTGAACCGGCTGGAGATATTTGACTCCGGTTCAAAAGGCAACTCGAACTGGACAGCCAAATAATGGATTTTTAGTACAAGGGAAAGTTGGACAGGGGGATAATTATTTTATTCTAAATTTTATAGTATTTGAAAAACTCCTAGATCCAAATAGAGCATTTTATCCCAAAGGATATTTTATTTGTATTATAAATATATTTTTCAATTCATTTTTTTATATTTTAATTACTTTTTATTTCATATATATTACAGTAATTATTTCAAATAATATTATATTCAAACACACTCATTATTTTTTTATGGTGAATTATTCAGGTGGTGAATGTTGATTAATTTTTCGTATTGCAAAGTTTGATATCATAAAATGACACATAAACACAAAGAAAAGAAGACAAGAGACATGATTAATGTTATATAGAAGCATAAGAAGGCAAAGGACAAAACATGGACTCATGGGGTGTAATCATGTGGTCATTTTAAATTCTATAGGGCGAAATTGAATGAATGGTTTCGGCCCAACCAAACTAGCCTTTTCAACCTGGAACTTGCTGGTTTTCAGAAATGTAATAATAGATCCATAGATGTTGGAACTTTAAACTCCAAAAGCTTTGAACATAATAGCATCTTTATTGGAATTTCAGCTTGGCTTCTTGGCATTTCACAAAGTCTGCAAGGAGGAGTGTGAGGCCTATTTTGGGTGGAGGGATTTGGAAAGAAGAGAAGAGGAAGGAAGGAATGACCTCATCTTCCTTTTGTTTCGAAGTTTTTGAGTGTAGGAATGTAGAGTTGAAAGATGAATTACATTATTCGACACTTAAATCGAGTTCGATTTTGTAAGAGGTTGCTTGATTCACTAACTAGTCGAACCAAACTCGAACAATTTTTTGTGTTTGATAACTTTGAAATTCAATAAAAAAAACTCGCTCAAATTCGGTTTAGCAACTAAACAAATCAAACTTGAACAAAATTTAAAACTCATTAAAATAATTAAATAAATTTGAATACTAGAGTGTTCGATTTAATTAGACTCATTTACACCTTCAAGGAAAGAGAAGAAAGAGAGGAAAATAGTGGCTGAATAATTAAAACAAACTTTCTCAATAAACAGAAATTGAAGGAAAGTGGCCGCAATGCTTCCAAACTTATTTGAAATACCATTAAAAATTTATTAATATCCAACATATTCAAAATTATTCCATTTCTTTCCTAAATTCCCAAACAACTTGAAAATCTATTCTCTCCTTTCCCTTCTTTTCTTTTCTCCGGTAATTTAAACTTTCTCCTCTATAATTCTCTGCAAAACTCCCAAACTAGGTGCCTGTTTGATAACATAAAAAAGTGCTGAAACTGAATTCATTCAGACATTAAGAGATTTTGGGTGTTTGATAAATAAAAATTCACCTGCTGAACTTATTAAGTGGTGCTGAATTTGTATGTATTTTTTTCAGCACAAGAATCGTAACTGAATGCTTAATTTGATAAGAATCAAGAGATTTACTTCAACTACTTTATCTTATCTACCAAATCTATCCATGTTTGTTAATTACATTCAAAATCTTTATCTAATTAAACAACCTAATATTCTCTATTCGAAATCCTTATCTTATTAAACAAAACAATCTGATATTCTATATTCAAACAGTCATTTCTAAATTTTTTAGGTCAAATTTATATGTTATATGAATTATTGGATTGTAACGTTTCTTTTAATGTTTTGCATAATATATTTCTTCTTTTATATTAATTGATTAAAAATAAATATTATCTTTTTCATACCTAACAATTTTAAACTAATTAAATCATAGGTTCTATTTCCTTTTTGGATGAAAAGATAGAAGGGAAAAATTGTACAATTTAGCTTATTAAGCATTAAGTTATGAATATTTATCAAACAGTATAAATAGATTCAGCATTAAGATTCAGACATTCATATATCTCTTTTCAGTCCTTAAAATTCAGCAAATTAATTATTTCAGTATTCAAAATTCAGAATTCAGATTCAGTGTTATCAAACGGAGCCTAGGCCTGTGTTTTGCTGGTCTCATCGAAGGAAGTTAGCCCTTGTAGTTTGCAGAAGCACTTTTGCACACAGCCCATCATAGAAGAGCAGCGTAAAAACACATTGGTTTGGGCCTCGAGCCTCCGTCCAACGCAATATTTAATTTTGTTTGTTAAACAATACCAACAATTATACGTAAACAATATTTAGGTAGATTAAGATTTAAGATGACATATTTTTAAGTAGATTAAAGGAAAGCCAAACATATATTTTTGTCCTATAAATTCAGAAACAAAGGGAATTCATACAACTTTACAGTAAATTTTTCTAGCAAAAGTACTGAATTTCGGTATGCAGCATTTTTTTTTCCTTTCGTTTATGTCGCTTCAAAAAATGAACAAAGAACTTGTTGAGCTTGATAATTAGCTATGGCATGCTTGATCAACATCGAACCCGCATAGCTTTTGGTCCAAATTTAATGAATCTTTTAACTTTACCATACTCAAACATTTTTTTTGGGCAAATTATAATTTGCCCTCCTGTGGTTTAGTGTTTTTTTGCATAACCTCCCTATGATTTCAAAAGTTATACATAATCCTCTTATGGTTTGGATTAAAGTGTTAAAATAATGGAAATAGTCATTCGTAACGGAACTTTTGAAAATATCAAAATTACCCTTATAAATACATGACCCACTAACCCTGTATGATTTTTATGTTTTACCACATAACCCCTTTATGGTTTGATATTTTACCATATAACTCCCTTATGGTTTTCAAAATATATACATAATCTCCTTTGGTTAATAACTAATTTTCAACTTTACATAAGGGTATTTTTGATATTTAAGATGACTCCGTTACAAATGATCATGTCCGTCACTTTGACACTTTAATCCAAACCATAAGGGAGTTATGTATAACTTTTGAAATTATAGGGGGTTATGTAAAAAAATACTAAACTATAGGGGGGTAAATTGGAGTTTGCCCTTTTTTTTTGGTGCTTATATGCACCATAACATTCTTTGTTTGACAAATTTAAGGAGTCCTCAAATAATTTGTTTCTTCTCTCCCTCGTGCAAATTCGAAAACAAATACAGAATAATTAAATTCATGCAAAATACCAAAAAAGACTGGATTTGATTGATTCATATGGATAAAATGAGAAAATGATCAATTTCATCCTTCATATTTTATAAAAATATTCTTTTCGTCCCTCACTTAAAAAACGAAGCAATTTCGTCCTTGACATTTAAAAACTGAAGTTCTTACATCTCTGAACCCAAATTTCAATCTGAATCAAACCACCAATCCACCTGATTACAAATTTTGGGGTATAATTGATAGATCACTTGGTTAACTCGACTTGATATTCATGTAAAATTTAATGAACCCAAAAATAAAAAATAAAAAATTATAACATAAAAAAGAAAGATTAATCTTTCCTACATTATCATTGTATACACTGACGGTTTTATGTACCGCCATATCATTTCAATTTAAATTTAAAGACCAAATTTTATATTTATAATACGAATCTAGATTCGCAAGCGGATATACTAACGGTGTATGAAAAGATTTATCAAAAAAAAAAAAAAAACTCTACTATTCCAAGACAAAGAATGGCCTTTTATGTTATAATTTTTATTTTTTTTTGGTTTAATAATGTCATGTGAATATGATGAAATTGACCAAGTAATTTATCAATTCTATTTCCGAAATTTATTACTAGGTTATTGAATGGTTTGATTCAGATTGAAAATTATGTTTAGGGATGTAATAGCTTTAGTTTTTAAATGTCAGGGACGAATTTGATTCATTTTAAAAGTGAGGGACGAAAAGAATATTTTTGCAAAATATAAAGGATGAAACGTCATTTTCCCGGATAAAATTGTAAAAGAAAAAATTGTAATGAACACAAGAGAATCTTATAAATATAAGAAATACGTAAATTATACGTTTAATGTATGCAAAATATCAGAAAGCAAAAGGCTAGATTTGATTTTACAAGTATTTTCAGTCCTGACTTTTAGACACTTTCACAAATATTTTAAATATCGAACGATAGAAATAACAATTAAGTGAGTTTTGTATACGTCTGTAACTTCACAAAATTTCTCATGCTACTTGATATTGCCAAAATATTGCCTGCCGAGTGATTTCTTTCTTAGCTTTTTCATGTAGGAAAAGCTAAAGCAAACGGTTAACAAATAATTCAAAGCAAAAAGTGAAACTGTGTAACAAAAAATTTTGAAAACTGGACTATGAACGGATTTCTTTGAGAAGCTATGAATTCAGAATCACCAAGAAAGGATGCCAACATAAGTGTGATCTTAGAACGTAGAAGATTGATCAACAAAATGGATGAAACTCCATTCTGAAATCTAAAGATCTCCACTTCGACTTCCTAATTAAGATAAAGGGAGACCAATCTAAAGTTATATAAAGAAATTAAAGTGATTGCCTTTTTGTTCAAAGAAAAAAACAAGGGACACTGCACTTTTTGGATTTTCTTCCGATAGAGTGAAGAATCAGCTATTTCTCTCTCTCTCTTTAAATTTGTGCTAAATATTTGATAATTTTCAAGATAAATACCATTCCTGCATCAGTCCCTTGGAAGTCGAATTAGATACACCATCTTTCAAATTGAGAACAAAGAAAAGGGCAAAAGAAAAGATAAGAAAAGAAATACTTCAGTATTTTATATATGCATCGATAGATGGTTTAGGATCTCCAGATCGACCACTTCCCTGCCTTACAGATGAATTGTTCCCCCTGGCTGCAAGCAAACCAAGAAAAGAAAATAAAGCATAGCTACTATATCTTTAAACTGAGTTAGACGGAGATGCACATATAATTGTTTGAGAAGAAGAAAGAAAGCTCTCCTCAACATAAGCAGACGATCATCTCTAGATTCGGTCATATTGCTTCAAGAGATTGGTAATAATACATGTGATATGCAACTAATACATCCTAATTCATCATAATTAATCAAAAAGTACCATCAGCAAGATTAATTAACACCGACATCTTGAATTTGTACAGATAGATTTAACATTCATAAGGAACCTATATATAATAAGCTAGCATCGAGTATCACTAGAAAACATGGAGAATTTGCCATCTCCCGTGAGATCTACAAACTACTACCGCCATTAGAGCTTAGTCATGAATAGGTAGGAATGATCAGTACATACTTTCCATTTTCATCAAGTGTCTCGTGCTGTCTCGTTTTCTCTCGGCAATCAGTGCTTCACGAGCTGAAACAGCTCCTTTGGGAGCAAGCAACGAATCAAACAAAGAACAATCCATCCAATCATTCAGAGAAGCCTCCTGACCCCAGATTTCGGGTATGCAAACCCTTCCAGCCACTTCATTCCAATGCCGAAACAGTTTTTCTCGGCCAGATTCCTCTTGCTGAATTGGACTCTTTGCATCGGTTGCAAAGCATCCTGCTGCACTGATGATGATGATGTGCCATTCGCCTTTGCATCTTGACATCTGACTCTAGGCGACGCTATCACTGGTCGATAGTTGTCGAAATCTGAAGAACCCTCATGGGCTTTACTTGTTTTGCTTGTTTTAGAGAGATGATCAGCGGCCATATTGGTTGTTTTAGTATCTGCAGCAATAGATGAAGAACAGTTGGCCATAGATATTGGTTACTAAGATATAACTGACGGTCTCAATGACAGTATCTGGATCAATGTTTGCATTGCATGCTAGAAGGTCTGCAGTCAAGGATTTATACAAAGAGAGCATAGAGGAATGCGTGGGAATTTGCATTACACGTAGGTAGGGTTTGCTTTTATGGCTTTTGAAGTCAGAACGTGTCTTTCCTAGTTTTTTGTTGGTTCAAATGTGTGGTGGAATGGAACCATGTTAGGCAAAGTACTACATTATTTTTTTTTTTTCCAAATCTATCGTTATCCTTACATTTAGTAATTTGCATCTTTAATTTTTAAACAACACTTTCACATTTATTTAAATTATTAATCGATACAAGTAAAGATCAATGATTGAAGGAGCTTTTAACGTCTGTGCTACTACTGAAATCCTTTTTTTGTTTTTAATCAAATTAGGCATCGTATTAATACCATTTAAAAACAGTTACTCAGAAATTCTTCATGTGGAGTTTCAGAATCTGTAACCAATAGCATAATGTAGAACTCCTCCTTAAGATGATGAAATATGAACTGTGAATGGGATAAAGAAAATAGTAGTTGGCATTTTCAAATTGATTGAGTATCTTATTTTTGTTGGATTTTAAATAAACAAATGACGTGCTAAAATTTATGTATTTTGGTTCTGTGTTGATTATAATGTACTGAATCTTTATATATATGTTTTTGGGTATTGCTGCTTAACAATACACTTGTCTCCAATTTTGAGTAGCAGTGTAAATTGACATGAATACTGAAACATCATGACACAATTCGATCAGCACCGTCGTAAGTTTGTAACAAGGAAAAAAAAAAACAATAAAAATCTGTAGTACTGAAATGGAAAGTGAACAGGAAGAGTTAACCTTGAAGAGGCAAAGATGTGGACGTACGTTTATGCAAGAAAAAGAATGAGAGAGAGATATTTGTTTCAGGGTGATGGCATCACCAGCTCTCTCCTGTCCTTAAATTCCTAAAGCATCGTCGGTCCATCTCCTGCAGACCAAATTCAAGTGTGGCCACACCTGTATGGACCACCTTGAACTAAATTATAAGCTATAGGATAGAGGGCTTTGCACAAGCTTTTTTGTGTTGTTTAATACAAATTTAAGTAAATAATACCACGACATTAATTTCAAAAAAATAATAATAATCATCTTCATTTTTTTGCATCTTTCTCACCGTATTGCAATTGAAGTTGTTCGTTCAATGGGTAAAGATGTATAACAGCTCATCAACATATTACTATAAGATATGCATAACTATTTGTAATATAGACGTAATTATCATGTATGGAATCCACGTGAACAGTGATAGAATATTACACTAGTATTGTAAAGTTGTATAGGTAACTAAGCGTATTTTACAATTTATAAAAATGGCGTCCACATGAACAGTGACAAAATATCATACCGTTATTAAAATATCATACTGTTCGGGAACGCTTGTCATAACAAGCATTCTTGCCCCTTGCTCATGGTTCGCATGCCACATCGATCTCATATGATGTAACAATTATTGTATTCTTCTATTTTCTTTGTTTGCCAAGAATAAAGTTACATTTAAGTCCGAATCCTGTTCCCTGAGACCCTCCCGAAATATCTCTTCTTGAACCTTAAAGATATAGTGGTTATTATGGGCGCTGCCAAGAAATCTTGCAACGTGGGAAAGCAATGCCCAGTCGATGCTTCACAGGTACCTGAAGTTATGGTATTAAATCAGAATAACAGGACAATGTTTGGCAGTGGCCTCTGCTCCGGGGTGTCAATAAGTTTAACCAACAACATTTGTAAGCTACAAGCATAGGCTCTTTGCTCTGTATTTCCCCTTCCTTTTCCTGGGGTAAAGAACAAAAGCAGGCAGGGGAATCCAAGTTTAACATCATTTCTAGCGGATCCGCTATACTAAAAAGACAGTTTAAATTGAAATTAGTCTTTCCAACTTGATTTCAGGTTCCGACCAATTCTCCTCCTGCTGCGCAACCCCTCATCGGAGGAGACTACCACTGGCGCAACAATGATTGCCTTTGTGCTGTGTATGCTTTTGAAGGAGAAAGATAGCAAAATAGGTAGCCGAAGGCCAGACATAACAGCAAGCTCATTCACTCTTGACAGTATGGTAGATGCGGCGGACAAATGTCAAGGAAGTATAAAAGCTGACTGTGCCGAGCATGAGGAAAAATGCATAGCACATAGAAGCACTATAGCCAAAATAGAACACTGTTTGCATGAAACCACTCATACTTGATTTGGAATAAAAGTAGAAACTGTACAGAAACATGAATATCCCCACGCTGCCCCCACGCAAGAAAGACCTGAATCAAACAAGGACAGCTTTACCATAAGAAGACGAAAGGTCGCATGTATGGCTACAAGCAGAGATGATGAAAATGTGAAGGGGAAAAATGTCAAAGCAGAAGAAAATCATACCAGAGAGATCCAAATGAAATTTAAGCTCTAACAGCTGAGTATGACAATAATAAAAGCAATTGCTGAAGCTCAATTAGAACAGCAAATTATAGTTAGAATGATAGCCTTATTCACTCAGTTTCTACACACTGCAGAAGGAACATAAACATCTAAACATTATTGCCTGTGCTTGGGAGTAAGGGTTCATGCGAAGAAAAAATATGAATGTGAGCAGGAAGTCTTCCAATGCAGATAATGCAGACCCCAAAACTATGGTGGAAAACTTTGTTTTTAGAATAAAGTTTTTGACATGTTAACTTCAGCCAGTTTATTTAGTACTAAAACTGGACAATGAATGCTAGTACCGTGTTAATGAACGAACAACAAAAGGCCATGCATAGGGGCAAAATCCAATATGCGAGTTCCTCTCCAATGTCTAAAACTTTATCAGGAGACACAGAAACGTTTCTCCAATCAAGGTTTGCTGGGATAACATTTGCTTTTTGCCGCATCATAAGTATGTGGTTCAACTTGTTAAAATTATGGGTACAGCTGATTATTATCATAAAATTCGTATTAAGCCCACAAGAATCACAAATCTGGTAAACAACTATAAAATGGGCAAGAGTGTCAAAAAGAAGCCAACATGCAACAGAAAGTAAACAAATGCTCACAAAAATAATGCGCACAAGTAATTGTATTTAAACATACCGCCACCACAGTCAGGATCTTCCACAGTCAGTTGAAAGTATGTCAACAAGATACTTAAGACAGCAGTGACTAGAACAAGAATCATGAATGTGATAAACAAGATGCCCGGAAGAGTAAAGATTTTGTATCCCCAGATGCTTGCATACAATTGATGTAACTCCATAACTATGGCACTGAAAGGTAAAAGACCCGCAATAAACATTTGACCAGGGATTCTGCAGTACCAAATTGATGGAGGGACTTCTCTGGAGAATTTCCTATTGGTATGAGATTCTTGAAATTCAGGCCTAAAATTGCAGCCACGCAACCCACCAAGTGCAAGTAAGGGAATCCCGATAACCATATGCACAAAAACTAGAACAAAAATAGTGCCAAATGGAAGGGCTGCAGTGGTTCCAAAATATGCAGCCACCAGATTAAGGGTAAAGGCTATGAATATGAATGGACCAAGGAAAAGCGTTCCAGCAAGAAAAACACTCCGTTCCTGAAAAGTTGACATTTCCATCAAGAGTAACAAGACAACAATTAAATTCATGAAGCAGAGCAAATAGTAGGGGCCCTTACCCATCCAGTTTTAGCGAATTGACTATAGAAAGAAGCAGAGGTATAGCCAGCAACTGCAGATGTAAGAGTATAAACTATGATAATAGAAGTAGAAAGAGCTCCACGACTCTGGGGATAGAGGATTCCAGTGAATGCCAAAGCAAATAATACTAAAACCCTGTAAATATCAAAAAGATAAATACATATGTTGGTTATAGTGCAGCATTTTTAAGCTCAACATCCAACAAACCAAGTACACATAGATATGCACTGTATTATAATAGTTCAACAAGAAAGTATCCATTAATGATAAGAAAGAACAAAGAACCAATTCAAGTACAGAACTTAATCATGTGAATGTGAACATCCTAGTAATAATTAGTAACGACTGTTTAACAAACAAGCATTTGGTAAAACACCAAGGTTATCAAGTTCGTTTAACCCACTCCCTCCTTCCCTCCCTCCCTCCCTCTCGGAAAAGATATCCTGCATTGAATGCATAGCAGCCTCAACATTCTTGTTTTACCAATATGTGGTCTGTTGAATTATCCATGGGAAAAAACAACTTCAAACCAACTGCAGTAAGAGGGCCAAAAGGCATAGAGGTACGTATGGAGGGAGAAAGAGAAAGAGAGAAATCTGAGTTGTGAGTAGTATTGCAGCCATGTCAAGATAACTCAATCGTGAGTAACAGTACAGAGAATATTACTAGCTGTCCTGGAAACTCCATTGTAGCACAAGAATTCTGGACACTCATAAGGATAGCTGGAGCTATTATATTCATGCAATAGCAAGTTAACAAAATAGTCAAGGATCTATGATGGATTCATAATTTTGAAAATGGGAATGCATAAAGCCAGCAGTGATCTATACTTCAGTTCATCTTAGGAACTCAATAATTGATAAAAGGGACCAGGAGACCTCCATGATGTTGGTTGCAAAGTTTGAGCATCGGAGAATAGAGTCTAATGCAATAATTTCTTATGGGACATTCAGTAGGTATATCCACTGTGCAGTCAATTCAGTCATCTAGTGAACTTGATCCAATTTATCAGACTAGTTGGCAGCTCATATTGGGATAAGTTTATTCTTCAAACACTGCCTAATAAGTTATCCAAAGTTTTGCATAATAATGCTTTTATCTAACATTTTGATGAAATATTGCTGTCTGATTGTCATTCTGTGCCTTTGTTCCCCCGGGGGGAGGGGGACGAAGAGGAGAGGTTTTGAAAAGGCTTACATGCTGACTTTATATTGAAGCCACAAAGGGGAATATCCAGTACTGGTCTCCCATAAGCGTGCCTATCAACTTCTAATTACACCTTCCCAGAAAGTAATTTTTTCAAATTGAATCACGTATTCTAAATGACAAACAGGATTCTACTGGCAACAAA